TGTGTTAAAAAGGCTTTTACTGAATTCTTCAACTGGCCATGTTAGGAGAAACATTGTTACATGTGCTTCCATTTTTGCATGAACAAAATCCAAACATTGAAGCAAGATGGGCTGCTAATAGTTATTTTTCTTGTTTTATTACTGAATGAATGAGTACTAGAGATTGTGAACCTTTGACAGGTTTGTGTTAAAGAAAAAACGTAGTGGCATGATAAACTGATACCTTGTTGATCTGATGAAAACTTTTTAAATTTAACCACCTTGCACGCGGATGCCCCTTATTCATTTCAGGGTTAGCATTGATGCCTTTGTCTATACAACTTGCTTATGCCTCTAATTACTACTGCCTTCCTGGTTTTCCTCACACTTATTTTTATTTTCGTTGGCAGGTCTGAGTTTGTATTTATCAATCCCAACTCTAAAGGACAGTGTGGTTGTGGAGAATCTTTCATGACAACAGGTGGTAGTGGAGCTACTAAGAAGGTTTAAAGAACTATGGCCAGCTCACGATGAACCAAGACATTACTAACTTATTATTTTTGATGGCACTCTCCTGAGTTATAGCAGTCAGTGCTAACTTAGGTCTTAAAAAGTTCATATTCTTCTGTAAAGCTGATTCCAATTTTGTTTGGAACAACACAATGTATATCTATAATTTATGTGCTTGTTGAATTTGTATTAACTTTCGTGATGTGAACGTGAACATGTAAACACCGCCCGACTTGTGGAAATTGCAGCAGTGAGATTCCTATGGGGATCTTCATGGCTATGATCAGCTTTGTGATCATTCCTCCCCTCCTGCCCCCATCTCTTTTCCTTCAACATTTTTGTGCCATTCTTTCGGTGTTACGAAGATAATACTTTGGTTTTTTGGGGTTTACAATTTTGGCTCTTTGGGCCACTTCAAACCAATATGCATTGTTCCCCTCTTTGGGCCACTTTCATCCATAAAATGGTTTCAAAAGTCAAAATTGTAGATATTTTCTTATCGTGAATCAAAACAATTTAGTTGTGATAAAAATGGTGCGTTTTTGTGCTAAGTATCTTAAGGACTTACATTATCTAAATTTTAAGAAGTCGTGAAAAATCAAATTGACATATAATTAGTGCCGATTAACAGTTGTGAGTCGTCCACATTTGTTACAATAATACAAGTTTAGATTTCCTTATATAATATTATTTCGAATCCAATAATTTTTCTTAATTATTGAATGATTAACGACTGTCAATTGTCCGCGTTCGAAACCAACCATCTTCTTATGGAAAATGC